TGTGATGAACCTGTGCTTGATTATTCAAAATCAATACCTCGCTACAATGATCATATTTTAAGGAATATTCTTCGCGAAAACCCAGAATGGATTACTGAAGTATCTTAAATTTCTCTACTTTTTTTTTGTTGTTGTAATTTTTAATTTTAGGGTGTTGAATTTTAAGGTATTTGGTTTTTTTATTTTCTTAAATTGTGTACACAATTTTTTTTGCAAACTTAAATTGTGAATTAATTGGGATTAAATTGGGAATCTTTGGAAAACTTTGGGAATCAAAGGATAATAGCCATTAACACTGAAATCCTAAAATGAAATTCGAATAAAATTCTTTTACTCAATTAGGTCTTATTAATTATTAAAATTTTATTAATTATTAAAATTTAATTAATTAGTTTATTACTTGTATTGCATTTGGTAAATTACGATAGTTTAAAAAAGTTTGTGTCCATAAATAGAAAAGCCAAACAAAATTAAATTTTATGTTGTTTCCCACTTAAGGAATGTGTTATGGGCCTTAATTTTTTAAATTTATATAATTTTATCATTTATATTTTTTTATAAAATTTATATAATTTTATAAAACATGACAGACTTTTTTAACACATTCTGAGACCAGAGGTACAACTATAAACAATTAAAGAGTTAATTTTTTACTGATTAAGAAAGAGTTAATTTGTTACTAATTAAGAATCTACCAGTTAAGAGTTAATTTGTTAAAAACTTTATTCACGTTTTAAACTAATAAAAAAATTTGACTCAAAATCTATTCTATTTAATTATTTATTTAATTGTCTCATTTCTGCTATTCAATCAAAAGTTGTAACAAAATGCACCAAAGCCATACAGGCTTTGATAATAACACTTTTTCTTACAGATGTTGATGGAATTAGCGACTCTGAGAGTTATCTCAGAGTTTTTAACTTTTCTGAGTTTTTATAGTTGTTCCCTCATTAGGAGATTTTATAGTTGTTCCCTCATTAGACAGAAAAAATTGCATAACAACTACCAAAGAAGTACAAACTTTAAAACCCAAGTAAAATAAAGTATATTAAATCGCAATACCTTATATACATTTGTATTAATTTTTTTTTATTTTAACAAAACTTTCAGTGTGTATTTTAAGAAAGAAAAAAAAATTATATGTATTTCTAATTATGAAATTATATTTTTATTTAAAATAGTAATTTTTTAAAGAATTTTTTTTTAATTTTTTATTTTAATATTTTTCTAATTTTTTTATTTCTGGTGATGAAAAATACTTTAAGTATTTTATTTTATAAGCGTTAAAGAGAAAATAATATGAGTTAAAAAAAATGATTTTAATTTTGGATTATCAGAGACTAATAAAACATTTATGGTGTGGCTAAATTGGACTCATGTATTACTTATTGAAATATGTAAATGTTGTGAAATATAAATTTAACAAGTTATTATCGATGCAATAGTGGGCCCCTTGTTATTTGTAATAATGGGGCCCTTGTTATTTCTGCAAGATATCATGAGATCAAAGTGGGATTGCTTACCTAGGCTGCTTTGATCTTAATTCATTGTTTCAAGGTTGAGAAGCAAATAATCAGTAAAATAGGCCTCTTTAGTAGTAGTGGCCTAACCTTGTGGAGATAAATATATAATAAAATTACACAATACAAACAAAAAATTTATAAAAACAAGTTATAAATGTTTTCATTTTTTTTTTTTTTTACAAAAGTTGCCATTCAAACACGAATCTCTTCTAATAAATGAAGATGCAGGGAGATTAACAGCATTTGAAAAACAAGAAGCAAAACGAGGTAGAATTTGTTATTTTGGTGGTTTAGCAATTTATTTTTATAGTTTTTTTTTGCTGTTTTTAATATTTATTTGTTTGTTTTCTTTAATTGTTTTTCTCTTTACATATATACATTCATAGAAACATGCATTCATACAAATTTCATTTCTGCATTGTAACTATAGCAACCATTACAAAATAATAAGAATAACAAATTAATAATAAAAAATAGTTCAAATATAATGAAAAGGATAAAATAATCTATAGTAAATTAAGTTTTCTACACATTAATGTATATCGTTATTTGAAAAAATGTTTTTCATAATAAACAAGTAATTTTTTACTTGCTTTTGCAAAATATTATTTAAAATTTAGTTATAAGAATTTCCTTAATTTTAATAATTATCTAAAACAAAACATTTTTTAATTCAGCTAAAGTGCTTAATAAAATAACTTGTATTGGGATTGAATTTTGAGTATTAAATTTTCCGTGATTGTTTTTAAGAGAAAAATATAAAAAATTTCACAGCTCAATAGTTCTAGTCAATAGCTATTGGCGTCAAAATATTTTAACTAAATTACAAAAAAATATTTTAACTAAATTACACTATTACAATAAAAATAGTTACAATAAATTGGTTGCTATGGATATCTAAATTACAGTAAGTTGTAAGAGTAATACAAATCTTGTAACAGTTGGAAAAAAAAAATGAACACTTAACTTAATAAAATGAAATCAATAACTAAAGGTTATTTACTATAACATATCTAGGGTTATCATTGTCCTGGTTTTTATATTGGACAGCGCTGTGTTTAACTCATTAAAATTAAAATTTCTTTTGCATTCTGCTATGGAAAAAAAAAGACAAAATGTATATACATGTATTAATATATATATATATATATATATATATATATATATATATATATATATATATATATATATATATATATATATATATATATATATATATATATATATATATATATATATATATATATATATATATCTGTGTGTGTGTGTGTGTGTGTGTGTGTGTGTGTGTGTGTGTGTGTGTGTGTGTGTGTGTGCGTTTGTATATATTACTAAAATATTTCTTGAGCACAAAATGAATAATTATTTTTATATAAAATCAGTTAAAATAATTTTATTATGCTATTTTTACTAAAACCAATTATAAAAGAGAATAAATTTAAATAACTTTTCAGTAAAGCAATAATAAAAACAAATAATATAAAGAAAGGACATAAAAAGATTAAAGATGATTCAAACTGTCACACAGTGGGTCAGAATTCACTTTTACTGGGCAAAACTAATAACTCGTCATGTAAAAAAGATTTAGAGACCATTTTTGTACTGTTTACTAATTTGATCGTTGCAGTTTCAATAATGATATTAGTTTTAATTTTTGCTATGGATACCTAAATTGGTTGCTATGGATATCTAAATTGCTTAGCAACCACATATTTTATTAACCATAAGAAATATAAACTGGACAAAAGTAATTACTTTATTAGATAATTGAGTGTTTTTATACTGCAAATGTAGTGGTAACTATGGATTTTTTATTTGATTGATAGTGACACCTGAAATGCCTGGCAACAGTTCATTTTACATAGTTATTAGCTTAAGTTTCTTAAAACATCAAAGTTATAAACTAATATTCGTGTGGCTGTCTGATTGAAAATTATTTTATGGATTTTAAAAATTAAACACAATTACTAGTTTTAGGTGTTTTTATGCAGTTGCAGGGCAGTTAAAAGAATATCATAATTATCAATTACAAATTGAACCAATATTGGTTCATTTTCTTCACCATTGTTATTATCTTCGAAACAATTTTTAGAGCAGTTGCATATATGCCACCTTCATAAAAGATGTTGTATGAAATTAGACTAGTTGTTATTTGCAGTTAAGTTCATGCCGTTTACAACTGCATCCAAAATATTAGGATTAGCTAATTTCAAGTTTTCTTGTAATAAATATCAATATTTTTCATGTTTTAATTATATAAAATTATAAATTACATTTACAAAATCTTATAAAAGGTATTTTTTTTTTTTTTATTTGCATTCACTCCCAACAAGGCTGCAAGCAACCACTATCAAGTTGGGAGTTACTAGGAAAAAAAAGAACAGAGTTATTTAAGGTTGTATTAATATTGAAACAAGTTTGTAACACTAATCTCTCACTGAGACCCAATTATTACATAACCACTTAAAATGAAATATATAGAATGTTTTTGCCACATTAAATCAGATACATCATTTAACTTTTAAAATTCATTATTAGAGGCCATGCGGACATCCACGGATTATAAACCAAATTTATATTGTTTATATACATATTGAACATCATCTCATTACTGGACCACCTTGGACTGCAAAAGTATTTGACTATATAAGTGAAATTTTAACTAAAAATGCGCGGTCATTTGAAATCATTTTATTTGACTTACGTGCAAAATATTGTTGCAATAGCTCATTTGAAAGACAATACAATTCTTTAAGTTATGCAATAAAAAGAGAGGTTTCAAAATTAATAACTGTTTTATGCTTATTAGTAACATTAAAAATTATCAAATTATCAAGGAAAAAAAAAGGTTTTTTATTCTACAGCTAATTACTCAATTATACTAATTATTCAATTATAATTATGTCATTATAATTATACAAAATTAATTAATTATTCAATTATAATTATGTCATTATAATTATACAAAAGTATATACATTTTTTTAAAAGCTGAATGTTTAAGCTATGAAATAGTTTTTTTTTTTTACTTTTGTCCACCAAACTGCCCACTGTGTGTCAGCGTGTTTCTCTACAATTAAACATGTTTGTTTATTTCCTTAGTATTAAGATCTCTTTCAAGATATCAATAGAGGAAATTTGTATTCATAGAGAGATAATAGAGGATAGAAATTTGTATTCATAGAGAGATAATAGAGGATAGAAATTTGTATTCATAGAGAGATAATAGAGGATAGAAATTTGTATTCATAGAGAGATAATTTGTTGCAGTTGTTACAAAGAGTAAGTTATTAGATAAGTTATTAGAAGTTAAATAAAGATTCAAATACTTTGTTAAAAGAAATCTGATTGGGTGATTGTTAAAGGGATGATTATAATATTTGTTCTACTAAATATTTAGACCAAATGAATCAGTACTTTTTAAAAAGAAAACCCTTTTAAAAAACAATGATTAAAATATTTTCTACTAGTTCCGTAATTCATGATTTCTGTATCTAATTTTGTTATTTTTGATATTTATTATATTTTCTAGTATTTTTTAGTTTTTTTTAATAGTTTTTAGTATTTTGTTTTGCTTAGCTCCTGTTGTTTTTTATAGTTCATGCCATTTTATTATTTATGAACTTTTTTAATTAAGAAATCTCAGCTTTATTAAAATTGTTTTTATTTTAAACTTTTTGAAATTATTTAAATGTTGTGAGTATTATTTGTCTTTTTAAATGTTTTAAGAGGCTTAAAAATCTCAATTAATGCAGAGCAAGTTTTTTTTGCTAGCAAGACTTTAAATAATAAAATTTTTTTTAATTTTTTTTTTATATTGCAAGTTTTATTTAATTTTTATTAATGTAGTTTTTTGGTTTTGAAGTTTAAATATTTAAAATGTTTTTTTTTACTGTTATTATTGTTTTAACTTAGGGGTCGTCCATAAAGTACGTATGCTGTTTTTTTTCATCAAGCCCTTCCCTCACCCCCCCCCCCTTACATTTTGCAATACGCTTTTTTGAGTACTCTCCACCTTAAAAAACCTACGCTTTTAACCTATTTATCACACATTTTATGATTTTTTTTTTAGTTTAGTGTCTCCTTTCTTTTATAATTGACCCACTGCCCTCCCATCTCATATACGCCATTTGCAGACCCGCTCTTCCCCTCCGAGTGGTATGTACTTTATGAACGATCCTTTATTAATAGGTAGTTAGTAAGCTTCTTTTATAACCATAATCTTTTTTTTCAAATTTTAGCTTATGAAAAAGAAAGATCATCACAAATGAATTGTCGCTCCTTCCCTCTTCAACCTTGGTATTTACATTTAATATTTCACATAATTTTAGATAAAATTTCTCTTTAATCCTATTATATATATATATATATATATATATATATATATATATATATATATATATATATATATATATAGTATATATATATATATATATATATATATATATATATATATATATATATATATATATATATATATATATATATATATATATATATATATATATATGTATTGATGGCATAGTGCACGGGTATGGTAAGTACAAATTTTGGTCAAATTGAGATAAGTACGCAGAAAAACGTGTTTTTATTTATAGTTTATCGTGCATAAATATGGTATGTGAACGATAAACGATAAAGAGTCTACTAATTGACAATATGTGGTAAATACAAAAACTCTTCTTATTATAATTATGCGCGCAAATGACAGTTTTTACAGTTTTTAATCTTGCACTTATCACATATGTGCACTATGCCATCGATATATATATATATATATATATATATATATATATAAACTAATTTAAAACATTAGATAATACGAATTCTCTCAATACTAAATAATTTATTTGAAATTTTTAATGCGACCGTTAAATAACAAAAACTTTGACGTCACCTTTATAATGGCTTCTTTTACTGAAGTATGAAAAAAATGAAGTCCAAAATTTTGTTTTAACATATTGTGTATTGTCCAAATTCATATCATCATACATTGGAGAACATTGATGTTTTTGTATTTTCAAGGCTTCACGGACTTTTCTTTCAAATTTTTTATGTGTTTCTGTTTATCCCATTCAATGTCCTCATTGCAATTTGCTTTATGCAAAGCAAATGCAGACTGGTTTAACTTGCCCCCAGTCATAAAATTTTGATGTTGTTGAACTTTTGTTTGTATTAGAAGTTTCAATTCACCGACACTTTGGGGCATTTGCACTTAATTAAATAGGTTCCTGGTTGGCTGTTGCGTGACAATTTTGGTTTATTTTTAGGCGTTAGTATGCTTTAATCAATTGATCAGTAATATCGAGAGAATTCGTATTATATGATGTTTAAAATTAGTTTATATATATATATATATATATATATATATATACTCAAGTACAAGACGTCAACATTTATATCATATATATATATATATATATATATATATATATATATATATATATATATATATATATATATATATATATATATATATATATATATATATATATATATATATATATATATATATATATGTATATATATATATATATATATGTATATGTATATGTATATATATAACAATAACAATAACAACAATAACAATATATATTCTGAAATAAAAGTTTACATTTCATGGTTGTTTACTAATAGTACAAGTACTAATCTAAGGTAAACACCAATTAAATAATAATAACAATTATATAATAATAATAATGTGAATTAAATGAAGATGATTATAATAATATCGATAATACTATTAAATATAATAATGACAATAATAATGATTATATTAGTTATTATAAAAACAAAAACAACAATAATAACAATAATAACAATAGCAATAATAACAGCAATAATAATATTAATAATAACAATAAAATAACAACAACAATAATAATAACAATAGTAATAATCTATTATGATTTTAATCAGAGTATTTTTCTAAAGTCAAAAAGACTTTTTGACTTTTTTTTGATAGACGATTTGGGATAGATAATTTAAAGTTACTCAAAGATCGAAGGTAATAACGAGAACTTTTTTTAGTGGTAAAAAAATTGGAGAATGACGGAGAGAGGTTAACTTGTTTATGATTCCAGACAAATAGACAATTTAATAAATAAACAAGATCACATAATTTGAGTATTTTTGATAGAAAGTAAAGGATGTCAGAGTTAGAATGATACTGTTAAAAGAATATTATTTTTAAAGCTTTGTTTTGAAGGTTGCATAACCTTAAAAAAGCATTAGACTTGCATTGTTCTCAAACCTGACAAGCGTATCTAAGATGAGATCCAAAAATTGCATGGTATATATTAAGTAGTAAGAGTTTCATAATTGACATAGTGGCGAATTTTGGGGAGCATCCCATTTGATCTACACAATTTTACTGCTAAGTTTTTAAGATAAGAGGAAAAAGATAGATCTGAGTCAATTTGGATTCCATGATATTTTAATGAAACTACGGGAAAGATTTTTTGTCCACTTAATCTAAAGTTTAGGTTTTTATACATTTTAGATTGATTTGATTTGATATTATATATATATATATATATAATATTTTTTTTATTTTTATTATATATATATAATTTTAGATAACATTTCTATTTATTTTTGTTATATATATATATATATATATATATATATATATATATATATATATATATATATATATAATATTTCTATTTATTTTTATTATACATATATATATAATTTTAGATAATATTTCTATTTATTTTTGTTATATATACATATATATTATATTTCTATTTATTTTTATTATACATATATATATATATAATTTAAGATAATATTTCTATTTATTTTTGTTATATATATATATATATATATATATATATATATATATATATATATATATATATATATATATATATATATATATATATATAATATTTCTATTTATTTTTATTATACATATATATATAATTTTAGATAATATTTCTATTTATTTTTGTTATATATATATATTATATTTCTATTTATTTTTATTATACATATATATATATATAATTTAAGATAATATTTCTATTTATTTTTGTTATATATATATATATATATATATATATATATATATATATATATATATATATATATATATATATATATATATATATATATATATATATATATATATATATATATATATATATATATATATATATATATATATATATATATATATATATTTGGTTAGTTTTCCCAGCGACTCACCCATCGTGCCAGTTCGGCCGTTTTTATGGCGACCACCCATTTACCAACCGCTATCGAACCCAAGTAGTGTTTTAATTCCAGAAATTTACAAAGATGTTTTAAGTTCATCGAATTTTATGCGCCAAAGAATGAACTCTACGACTGCAACGAAGCTCTCGTCAAATTCATCCTCATTAGAATCATCAAAAAGTTTATCAACCAATCAAGATACGTTGTATGGTTTTTCATCATCTTACCCCACGTCTTCGTTTGGTCCTCTAACAGATTGTACTTCAACATTGCCAAGACATCAAAAAGTTATTATTCATGATAGCTTATTAAGTAAAAATTTATACAGTGCGGAAAAAGAGGTTTCTAAAACAAGGGATGATTACTCAGCTTCTCCTATCAATCGATCGATTGATTCGGTTGGCGTTCGAATCGATCAATCGAATCGATCGGCGTTCTTGAAATACGGCAAAAAGTCTCCTTCGTATTCATTGTTTGATGAAGAAGTTTTAAATGCTGATGAAAGTATTCGAAATGCAATGAGTTCATCGCCTTTATTTACAGCGTCCCAAGATCATTATTCTCGTGAATTAAATAGCTTAAACTGGTCTGACCATGGTTATAATGATACACACAGATCAGACAACATTAAGAATGATATAAGCTTTGCTAATTTGTTAAATAACTCATATTCTAACTCGCGATTTTCTAGGACATTACCTCAAAATATGGTTTCACCGAACAGCAGAGTTTTTTCAGATAAAGCGTTTTGTTCCAATGAATCTCAAAATTCAGTACCATTTAAAAACATTTTAGATTCTATCGAGGTCAGCCGAAGTACAAACCAATATAAAAATATTTGCTGTGGTGATGAACGAAGCAATAGACATTTGCTTCCTTTTCAGACAAAAGTTTCTTGCGACGAAGTTATTGTTCTAGACGATTAAAAAATTTTTTTTTAAGCTTCGTTGTGAATGTAAATAATGAATTAACTTTAATATAAACACTAAAACTGTCTTTTAAACAGCTATAATATTTAGAAATTCATTTATTATTATCATTTATTTATGACATAATTATCATTATTATTATATATGCTATTAGAAACTTAATCTAGAAATGTTTGTGAAGAAAGTTACACAATATGTTTTTACATCAATATTAATGTCACAATTAATATAGATGTAAAAAGAGAACACAGGGTATTTGTCGAAGTTTTTTTTTTTTTTTTTTTTTGCAAAAAAAAAAAAAGTTAATCAATTCTGTTTAGAAGGTGCTGATGTTAACACTATTTAATTTATTATTTACTGATTAGGTCTCTAGGTAATGTACTTTAATCGCTTGTCACGGGGTTACAGAATTTTTGCAATAATTATAATTTATAATTTCATGTGCTCGAATACAATGACAAAAATCACCAATCTTTTAAAGTTATGCCGATGCTAGAAATTGTCGTAAGTCAAAAAATCTTATAGTGTCCTATAAAGTTTTAGAACGAAAAATTATTAGATTTGACACCCATTAAATTGAAACAAATTAGTTTTAAAATGTTTTTACTTTTTGTCGTTTTTTTCTCTTCCAAAATTCTATCGTACTTTTTGACTATGAATGACTTGATTAGTTAATGATTTATGCCATAATATTTTTTGTAGTGCTGGACAAAATCGCCAGTTTTGTCAAAAAGCCTTTAAAATTCAAAAAAAAAAAAAAAAAAAAAAAGCTTTAAAACCCATGAATCAATTTTAACAATTTTTTGTCGTAATTTTTCTTTCTCAAAATCCTAAAAGCAAAAACACAAAAAAACGAATAAAAATTATTAACGTATCACCGAGTTGACGATTGAACTAAAAGTAGCAAATATGAATCGAATGGACTAGGATTGACACGTGGGAACTTATTATGACTCACAATGTATGAACTAGGTATTGAATAGTTTTTATAAAAACAATTATAAAAAATTACTAAACATAATGAGACTAAATAAAGGGTTTCTTAATAAATATAAAAATGAATTTGGGTGTGTATGTTAATACTTATGAAAAACAAGAAACCGTACACCTAGTGGGCACGTGACGTGTTTTTGACCTCCTTAAAAAAATACGTTTTGTACCTGCTAGAAAGACTGTCATAAATGTGTTTGAATCATTAGATTTTCAACCAATAAATTAGAAGTAGACCGGAGTCAATAAGGTGATTATACTATTCACAGTTGTAAATCTAGAAGAAAATCGTTAAATTTTGAAACCGTTTTTCAACTCATTTTGATAAAACTATTGAATTTTAATCAAGCAATTAAACTTTACGTTGGTTTCTGACCTTAAGCTCAACATCATCATCCTTGATTTGTGTGTAAGTTTCTCATTTCTTTATCGTAACTTAATGCGCACTTTAGATTTTAAAAGAATAATATGTAATGGTTTTTTTTAACAAAAAAATTTGAGGCACCGCATAGTGATTTAGAAACACTTACAATTTGGCCAAATACAATTTTTGAGTAGTGCAATTTAAACAATGTTATTAGGTAACTATTTTCTGCAGTTTCTTATGATTCTAAAGGTATAAAAAAATAAGAACTTAATAAATTTAAACTTTAATTTATGTTTGTAAGTGACCGAAAACAGCTTTTTTTTATCATTAAAATTTTATCATTATTTAAACTTAAATTTCTCTCTAAATACAAAATTTTACATTTTAATTTTCATTAAATACAAAGATAATATATAATTTTATTTTGATTTATAAAAATATTTGAATATGTATTTATACATCTTGTAAAAAAAACATTTAAAAAATGTAATTTTAACGAGTTTAAACTAATTTTTAGAGAGCTAGGACTTTCAGCTTACTAAACACCAACGTTATTAAAGACAGAATTTAGATAGAAATTAATTAGTTAAAAACTTATTTTTTGATTACATTTTTTTTTTACAAAAAATAATATTCCCCCCCCCCCCCCAACCATATTTGTTAAATATTCATAGTCTTCTTTGTCAACTTTACATGAATTTTCAGCAATTTTAAATAAAAATTTTCAAAAAAATTAATTTTAAGTTATTCCTGATCACTGTGCACCGTGGAAAATACTGATGTTAATGTTGTGACGAGCAAATTAAAAAAAAAAAGTTCCATATCTATGAAAGGGACTTCACCAGACTAAATTATTAGCGAAAGATTTCCGAAAGTATCATTTTCATACCAATTTTATTTATTTGTGACCCAAAGTTATTTGATTCTTGTAGTAATATTAAAACTTTATTTAAAATGGTCAATAATCGAATTCTAAAACTAGGTAAATCTTTAAATGTATTTCAACTGTCTAAAAACTGTCTCTTAATCTAAGCACTTTTTTTTTCATCGCATTTATAAAATAATTAAATTCGTAAAAACAATAACTTTCAAAACTTATTATCGGCTATCACATTGTAAAAAGAGTTAAATGAAACTTTAGGCACTAAAATGTCATGATATCTCGTCACGATACACGTCATGATATCACGTCAGCGTACACGTCATGATATCACATCACGATACACGCCATGATATCACTTGGAAAACTCTCGAACGAAGAAATACATTTAGATTAAAACTAATCTGTGTCTTAAACAGACCCACAAGTCGTACTTTATCCCATTAAAAAAAAATGTTCTAATTTAGATTTATATATTAGGAAATTAAAAATTAAATTTTTTAAAAATCCGATGGCGCGTTTTTAGACGGGTGGGGAAGGGGGGTAGATAGATAGAAAGGGAAAGAAACATGTTTTTAATAATTAAGAACATATTTCTAGGAACAAATCTATTTCAAAACTTTGATTGAATTTTGATCCTATAAATTAATAGTGTAAACTTTATTTAGCTTTGTTATCAACCGTCCCTCCCCCCTCCCTCCTTCCCCACCCGTCTAAAAACGAACCATCGTTTTTTAAAAAGTTTGATTTTCAATTTCCTAATATAAATATAATATAAATAGTTATTATTTACACAACTATTCACTTGATTCTACTAAAGTACTAAGGATGTTCCCCGTTGTTTTTTTATTAAAAAAACAACGGGGAACATCCTTCTTATCCCCTTTTTACCTTTAAACGTTATAAATTATTTTTCAAAATTGAACTAGTTACAGAATATAATATATTCAGCATTTATTTTTGTTTAAATAGATTCTTTTAGATTATTTTAAAATAGTTTTTGGCATTTAGTGTTTTATTATTTTAATACCTTGATTGTTTTAAAATTTAATAAATCTAGAAAAATTAACATGTAATTATAATACTCATAACATTGGTATAATCGTAAAATGTTTATTTTATTTTTGAGCCGTAAATCTGGAATAGATGTATTAGGAACAATTAATTTAAAAATAAGATTTGCGAACATTTTTTTAAATTTGGACAATGGAGAAGGAGGAGGGGGAAAAATTAGGTGAAGAGATTCCAAAAAGAATTTTAAAAACTTATCTTTTGGGAGAGTCAGCATTGTTTTGAATCAGAAGATGAATAAAGTATGACTAATTAAAAAATTAAAAAGAATCTTATTGCTGTCCAATAAAGAACTTTGCGAACGGGCGTAAACATTTTTTTATTGTGAACTTAAAAATTTATAAACTAATACAAGAAATATTTGTGGATCTATACATTTATATATTTATACTTTAAAAAGTATCATTAAATTAAAAATGGCAAGCAAAAAACACATTGAAAGTATGTTGGAAGAAAAATTCAAAGTACAAGAAAATTCAACTCTAAAGATTATTTCTGGAAATGCAACAATTTAAAATGAAAAAATTGATAAAATCTTGAAATCGATCTAGTCAATTACTAAATGTTTGTCATTAATAAAAGAAAAACAAAAAACTTTATAACAAACTGTTGAACACCTACTGAAAAGTATTGAGTTCACTCAAGATACTTTGATTGATGAAAAAATTATATGTCTTAATAAAGATCTAAACAAAGTAATTAATAGCGAAATCACTAGAGCTTTAAATAAAGCCGTTTACGTACAAGAAAATTTGGACGAAGCAAAAAATGTCACGAGCTAAAATAAAGGATGAGAAAGTTCGAAGACAGAAATAGAAGAAATAACATAAGAACTTACGGGTTATGAGAAAATAAACGAGAAACTTGGGAAAATGCTGAACAAAAACTTTAAACAATTATTATTGAACAGCTTCAGCTAAAAAATATAGTAATAAAAAGTGCACACAGAATTGGAAAAGTTTATAATAATATGGATACCCCAAGAACTGTTTTACTTAAACTGTTAAACTATAAAGATAAAAAACAAATCTTGATTTTTTAGAAGAAAGAAATAAAATACGACAGGATCTTATTGAGAAAATGAAGATTGCAAGACATTCTGGAAAATATGCAGTTTTAGCATGATAAACTGATTGTGAAGGAGTTAAATCGGAAAACTAAATAAATATCTTTATATCTTTTTTTTATATTTAGTTTTTTTATTAACAAAATAAAGTCCCATTTTCAAGTTTAAATATTAATATCCGAAGTCTAAACAAAAAATTTGAAATAAAACATGATTTCGGCATTATTTGTTTTACAGAGATTTGGTGTAAATGTGAAAAAACTGGACAATTTTAATTAAAAAACTATACATCTGTTCATCAACCGCGTAAAATTCATGCTGGAGTAAGTGTTTATATCCACCATTCAATCGACTTTATTTGGCGTACGGATCTTAGTGTGATCGAAACAGATTGTGAGTCATTATGCGTAGAACTAGTTAACAAAAACTCTAAAAACATAAATACTATTTATAAAACCATAAATACTATTTATAGACAACCAGGTGGGAATTTCAAAATATTCAAAACTCATTTTAGCTCATTCTTAAATTAAATTATTAATACACAAAAGCATGTTTACATAGTTGATGATGCAAATTTGTTGAAGCATACTTCTAATAATAATGTCAAACATTTTATTGATACTCTAATTGAGCACAGTTTCATTCCAACAATTATTAAGCCAACCAGAATAACTAAAAATTCTTCTACCTTAGTCGA